TCACGATCTTCCTATTATAAAATTATTTTCAAAGGTGATTTTTAGATGCAATTATGGGGGACTAGTTTAAGGAGGAAAAAAAAATGAGAGAAGACCTTCTCAGTCTGCCTTTGCTCTTGGGGAGGTTTGAGTGGACAGCCAAACAAAATGGGAAGATAAATCTCGGTAAGTCAGAAGTCTAGCAAGGATTCTCTGAAGGACTTCTGGGACTGGGGGATTTGTACAAAAATACTTTATTTAAATGTGGTTTGGTATTATCAAGGGGAAAATAGTAAGTACATGCTGGTACACAAAGTCTGAATGGAAAGTATTAATGCTTAAGCTACTGAAACTTTACAGGTTTTCCTCCTTTGTGCCATTGAGCCATGTCTGAGGATCTGTAGTATCAGGCCCTTGCATCATTGTGTCCAAACTTGGCCAACTAATGCTGAAGTAGTTACCAAAGAACTGCTAGATTTTATTTATTTATTTTAAATCGTAACTGTTTTAAGCTGAAGTGCTATGTGATGTTCATTAGTAAACAGACCTTGGAATTCATTCTTCCTAATGCTAAAATAATGAATATTTTCAAACTCCAGGGGGAGGCAAAAAATGTTTCATTATACTATGGTCTAGTTGTAGATTAAGATAATTTGAATTCTCTGCTGCTTCCCTGTCAATTATAATATTATATTTATAAGAATGAAAGCTATATTAACTTCATTTTTCAGCCACAATGCTGTGAATGTTTTTAAATGTCACTAATACTGGATCAGAATCAAAGAGGTGAATTACTACATATCTACATGCGTGGTTAATCAGCAAAAAAAAATTGCAACTGTTAAAATTGTGAGCTAGTATAGACAGGTCATTGGTGCGAGGTCTTAAAATACAGCTTTGTGCTGTTCAAATGGGTTTTGAGTAGTTGGCTGAAATGCTTGGATTGATACTCTTGCGTGAGTGAGTGTGAATTTTTAGGAATCAGTGGCATCTGTTCAGAGACTGCACATACAGAATCACTACAAGACCCTTTACCATTCACTATCTCCAGCTCCAGCTGAAAGGATATCTTGGCACTTGAAGGATATTCAGTTATCATGGCCAGGAAGTTCTAGATCTGTCTTCTAAAGCAGATGTTTTGTTGGGCTGTCTTGCAATACAGAGGTTAAGCTTAAATGTTTAAGTATTCCCTTGACAGTCTTGTGAGATAAAGCGTGGCAGTACCTGGGTTAGTTGGGATGGTAGAATAAGGAATAACTGATTTTTCTGATGCCTGCTTTACACTTCCGTAATACTTGAGCATCTTCAAAGATTAATATTATTCCTAAGATTAGAGATGGGGAAGGAGAGGGTGTTTCTATGCTCTTTTGTTGTTTTTCTGTCTGCCTTTTTTCTACAGTATGCTGAGTATGATTCATTTTCATAGTTTTCCATATGTAAGTTTTACCTTTGTACTTTAGCTTCTGTTTAAAAGTTTGTTTATTCTTTTGAGGGAGAAAAGACATTTGGGATAAGGGCTGGGGAAAAAGTTGTTTTTTTATTTTTTTTGGACGGTTGTGTAGTACTCGCAACTGTACAGTCTGTTCACCTTCAGTGATCTTATGAGCCTCTCCACAAGACCATTTTCAGTGACAAGGTTCGCTAACAAGGGAGGCAGAGAAAACCATGCAAGAAAACAGGAGCACTTCGATAAGATATGCACGGAAAGAAAGCATTGATCATGTTCTAAATCAACTTTTTGTTTCAACTGTTCAATAGGTGTTTGTTCAATTTTATTATGGTAAAACTGGTAAGATCTGTTTTATGTGACTATCAGTGAAAACAAATTTTCTGTCATTTTTAGCACTTTGCATCCCCTGAAGAATTGTCTCTGTATAATTACAGCATGTAAATTATAGTATCCTAGTTCATATATATATTTTTTAATAATAATTATAATAAAAGATCCAGAGGACCCTGTTAATGCAGGTTTTAAAACCAGCTTTTCCTAACCTTTTAACTTGCTATGCAGTCAGAAGCAGTCTTGCATCATGAAATGCTTGTGGTCAGTTACATAAGAATCGACTCCAAGTACAAAGCTATCTTCAGTTTTCATAGCAGCCTGCCTTTGGTAGCAGGGTGTCCTAAAAAAGCCAGGCCATAATAATTTCTTTGTTTAATAAATGTAGCTTAGGGTAGCTGTTATTTTAGAGGAGATGGCCAATTGCACCAAAGAAGTAAAAAATGATACACGTTCTAAAAT